AAAAAATATGCCTGTTGGAGACTAGTTTGTCCCTATCTTGCTTTGCAATGCGTCTATCAGCATGGAATAGAGCCAAGGGCAGCACAGTCCCTCTTCACACATGCTGAGAAATGCTCTGATTTAAGGAAAGACAGCTCCTTTCCTGTGTTGCTCCAGGGACAAGGAAGTGATGTGCCACTTCCCAAAAAGCAAGAGTTTAATTTCATCCCAGATGCCTATGGATTAGCCTCTTTGTATAGGGGAGGAGCATTCTGAATGGGAACACTGTAGTTACCTACAGCACATATTAGCCAGATCTTTCTACATACTAACAACTGCCTATCATAAAGGGTTAGGCTGTGTACTGCGCACAAATGTTTCCTCTGCCAGCTCTCAACAAAGAGCATGGCTCTGAAAAATTATGTTCACAGAAGTATAGGTATTCATTATTCCTATTAGCAGATTAGATGTTACTTTCAGGTTTAATTGTATTCATGTTACCCATGGACCATATTTAAATTGCATCTCAGTCTATTAAAAAACAGCTTCACAAAGTGACTTATACAGAATCTCCTGACTCCTCTAATCTAGGCCTCATCCTGAGTACCAGGGGCCCACCTTTTTCCCAAGGACAAAAAGGATTTTAATGTCATTGTGACATCCTTTATTATCTCTTCAGGCACTTGCCATAAATTCAGTCATTGTAATGACTCTCTTACAGTTAGCTGCCAGGATCCCATTAAATAAGAGAGTCATCAGAAGAAGTAGCTTTCTAAGGACAAAAAAAAGAAAAGGAGGAGGAAGTGGGCCATGAGAAGGGATCTGACTATCTTTAGTAAAATATAGTTCCTTCCAATGAAAAGAATGATGAATGACTTCAGTCCCCCTCCCCACACACACACATCAACCCCTCAATGAACTTTAATAAGAACCAGGCTCTTACTTTTTCAACTGAAATGTTTGTGTAATATTCCAAGAGCTTGAGGACAGCGATGCTTCAAGAACTAGACAATCTGGAAAAATGTGCATGTTAGATATATGCTGAATATTACAAGAAATAGTTGTTAAGTATGATTGAGTTGAAAGCTCATGTCCCTTCAGCTATTCTTTACTTGGTATGCACCTTCTCTCATACATTCACTCATGCTTTTGAGAGATATAAATAGCTAGATTTTCTCCTTCTGCATAGCACCCTTCAGCTGAGTTGTGCCAGGGCTTTATACACACTCATTAATTAAGCTTGATGCCACCACTGCATGACAAACAAAAGTAATGTTATTTTCAGGATACAGATAAGGAAATGCTACCATGAAGCAGGGGTATAAAATCATTTCCCAAAAAGCACACAGTGATATGTGCTATGGCACAGCCAGACCCTGAATTCAAGCCTTCTAACACAACAGACTGTTCTAATGCAAGAGACCCAAACATTCCATACTTCTCTTTCTGTCTCAGAGACTTGGTTTCAGTCTCCTTTTATAATCTATGCAGTAGCAATTTTCATCCTATTTAAATCTTTTATGATTGCATGAGTCAATTTGCCATTATTTCAGCTAGCAATTACTATACCGACAATTCACTGGCAGCTGTGGTATGAAAGAGTATCTTCTCTTATGAGCAGAATACCACATCGAAAAGTAGAGTTAGACATATACCACTTAAGCCATGGTCTCTTTCATCTGTTTGCCTGCAGATGTGTACGTCTGTGAAATGAATGACTGCCCGAGATCAAACGAAACCCATGTGTGCAGACCTTTCTGGCTTCTCTATGCTCGGAACTAGCTAGCTTTTTAATCCAGGAAAGTTACACAGATTTCAAGTATATCTACCTTGCAAAGGTAGAGAAACCTTGGCCTTTATGGCAGGCTGGCTCGTTCAGATGAAAACCAGCTTTGGCTACATCTACACTGTTAAATCAGAAGTATCTCTGAGCTCCACACGTCAGCATGGCACTGCAAAGGTCACCTGAACTGCTTGTTAGAAACAGACCTTGGCACTGTTCATGTGATTAAATACCTTACTAAATGGACAGCAAAGAGTTTGATTTTAATGGTATTTTAATTTCTAAAGATGTAGATGAGTACACACAGACATTCTGAAATCCTTCATCAAACAGAAATCTACTTGTCTGCTGAAATCTGACATGTTGGCACAAAATTGCCTAAATCACTTGCCTACATCAATACTTGAGGAAAGTCTCAAGCCATCGACTACAGAAAAATAGTATTTTACTAGGTGTAGTAAATAAAGAAAGGAACTTATCTCCTTCTGGCAGAGCTTGTCTTCTCTTGTAATTTTGTATAAATACTTTAAAAACAACACTGTCAAATACAGTTACCTGAGTTTCTCTGTGTTGAAATTAATTGAACCTATTATTTTCTGTGTGGTCTGGGCTGACCTTTTAAAATGCACCAGACTACACTGAGTATTAAGTATTTTCAAAATGTTTTTTCTCGGAAATGATTTCCCAGAAATGAAAGGACTTTTGCAAGTGCATCTTCTCATGAGACTGAGGTCACTTTACAGGAGGTATCATAAATAGTCAACATAACTTCCACACTTGCATTATCCACTAACATATCTCAGCTCTTAGGAGAGTGTGAGTGGCAGTAATACTACTGGGCACATGCTAAGCTCAGAGTCTTCTGGTTAACACTGTCAATGGGCTCATTTTTGGCACAAAGCACAAGAAAAGTGAGCTGGCTTCCATAACACTGTACTCTGAAAACCTGCTAATGGAGTAAGAGAGGGCCTTAGTCTGAGAAGACAGAGAAGCAAACCAATATGCTCCATAATTACAAGAAAACATGGCTTTTGGGACTGGTTCAATAAAGGACATTTTCTTCTCTAATGCATCCTTCCCTCTTAAAAATGCACTAATAGTGTTTATGAAAGACAACTTAATAGACCAGAATACTCATGGATATCACTCTAGCTGTCACCTGCTAGTGACAAGTCTTTTTTTCTCAATTCCTGAAACAATATTGGACAGGAACTTGACACAACACCTCTGTGAGGCCAGAGGAGCTTTTCCCATACAAAGGCCCCAGGCTCCTGAGAGCCAAATATTCCAAAGAACTTCCTTCAGGGACAAAGGTCCCTGAGAGAGAGAGAGAGACAGTTATTTGCAGCACTGAGTTCTTCAGAACAAGAGGTCCTTTTAAGTTCTAGGTAAGATTTAATTCCTCCTTCTACACAAGGTTTTATAAGACAATCAGATTCATACAGAGTATTACCTGTATTTTGGGTTATATTATTACGGAAAAGATAGAGACAGGCATTTATCTGAATTTTCTATTTCCTCTTCAAGTCACTGAAGGGCACATGGTATCCTTTCAGCTTATTATCTGTTTCTCAGTTTAGATTAAAACTCTCTTTTGCATTCTAACATAAGCAACTTTGGAAAGTTATAAGGTCAACTTGTATTAAAAAAGCTTTGTGCTTCTATACAGACCCTTGAAGAAATGCAGTGATGACATTTCCCTACTATTAAGTCAAATAAGACTCCACTGTGAAAGATCATCATCTGATCTTTGAGAACAAAGTCTAGAGAAGAGCTCAAAAGTCTAGATATTCAGTAATTTACCACTTCATTCTAAAACTTGTAGTTGCCCATATGATACACAAATCAGATCACAAGCATCACGTGTCCATTACAAACTGCTCAGGTCTCTGAGGACTACTGGTGAACAAAATAGTATAAGAATTATTGCAAAATGAGTCAACCAATAATTCAGAAAGCTGAATGAAATCCAGTAAAAAAATTGCATGTGCCAAATTGCCCCTGAACCATGTATTCTTCTGCTAATCCTCTACATTGGACAATCACTTTCTCATAGTTTCTAGGTTAGGTTAAAGCAGTTAATTAAATGTTAAGATTATTTATCGTACAGACATTCAAAATTAGATTCTCCTCTTATTTATGCTAGTACAGTTTCTTGCAAAAACAAGTTATGGTTGCAGGAGAGAAGAGTTAAGATGGATTAATTTGTCAAGGCAGAGCACAAGTCCAGTGCTGCTCCCACTGCTCCAGCCAGCTTGATTGCCACTGCAGCCATCCTAATTTTCCTCAGACAGTTATTAATGGCATCACGTAAATAAATATACTGCTAATGCTAAAACACTGCACTGCTATAGGCTGAACCGAAGAAGCTGCTTCCAGCTATAAGGTAACGTGCTCTTACTTCTAGAAAGGACTCCATATTAACAAAATTTAACCATCAAGAACAGTGTGATTGTACTTAATTCACTCAACAAAACATGTATTATTTCCCTTCACTGACATTTAAGACAAAGCATTATGTGCTCTTACACACATTGGGCCTGTATTTATGTACAGTACTCCCCAGTAATAAAGGTCAGTGAAGAAGCATTGTATTTAATAGTAAAACATACCATTATCAGTTATCTTCAGACTGGTTAGACTGCAGAAACAGGATGAGTTTTTCAGCACTACATTCTCATAAAATATTTCAACAGATGTTGTAACTTTTATCATACAGGAAGTAAGGACTTTGCTTACACTTGCAGTCACAACCACCTATAAAACAACAAAAACAAGAATACAACAGGTTTCTTGCAATCCTTGCTAAGTCATCACCTTGTCTTTACAAACAACGACAAACTATGAAATATACAAAATGAAACTTTTTGTAGTGGAAGCAGACAATTCACTAGGTAGACTCTGAAAGGACAGGGAGTCTTCCAACTGAAGAAGCAATACAGAAGGAGTTCTGAAAGGAACAGCATTGCTTACTTCCAGACATTAAATGGATCTGTAAGGCATGTTAGGGGAGCAATCTGAAATAGTTTTGGATTTTAAAACTAGAATGTTGCCGCAACAATGTTATATGCTGTTATATTCCTTTAAAAATATTTGAGCAAGAATGTACAAATCCTCAGAGAAAAATGTTTGTATCTATGACCAAAGTGCACTTAATTATGAATTTTTATTGTAATGAATTATCCTTTGTTTCTAGCTGAGAGAACTTTACAAATATGATCACATTAGTGTATTCCATCAGGAAACCAGAAACAGTAGTGTGCAGATGAAGTGGCCAGTCACAGTAGTAGATAATCAAATACTCAAGGCTGTGCGTGCTGTGAACAGATACAGAGTAAATACTAGCATCACACACTTAAAGGCACATTTGTGTTTGCATATGTGTCCAGAGAATACTTTTTAACTTGTTCCAAAGCTTGGAACTTATACAATGCACTTGATATATGGTTACTGGAAATATTAAAATAGCTGATACAGTGATACAACAGAAACATTGCCTTTGTCAGCATAAGCAATATTTGAATTGTCTCAACATCATGAAGCTACACTTCAGGATATATTTCATAGGAGAGGAAGAGAACATCTATCTAATCAACACATTCAACTTACTGAGATTTCCAAGACATTTGCCAATTGTTGAGGTAAGAGAAACTAATATATGAAACATGGTGATGAAGAGAAGCAACAACAAATTTACACATTTTAAGTCACAATAAACAAGCACACATAAAACTGGGTGTACATACCTGATTTTTGGCAGGGAAATTTAGCTGGAGTTTCAGATCTTTATCGGGTGCATGTGAAATGTTATACCAACCCTTTATGCTGTTTGAATGTGTACAATTTTCTTCTAATGTGCACCTAAAAGCATACATAAAATTATACCAGCCTCCTTATCGTGGCTTTGACTTCAGACACTGTACTTCAGCTTATTTAAAGTTATTGATTTTTTTACAGGAGCACTATTGATTTTTTTATATAGGAATATGGATGTAACTGCAAAAAGCTTCAGGAAAACAATCAGTAAAATCTTCTGCTTATCAAAATAAATTACAATGCATTGATATATGCTCGAGGGTCTTGATAAAGTCAATGAGACTCAAGCATTAGATGCTTGGCCAGTAACAGCAGAATTGGTGAATTGGTAGCCTGGGATGGAATTCATCACCCTCAACTTGATTGCTTCATTGTATAGCTCTAGATCTGACACTCCCCACCTTCACCCCACCAGTTCCCTCTACGCTCTAGGGGGAGAAATATGTTCTTTTAGGGTGCAATTCACCTAACCTATTTTAGACATTCGTGCAAAAATGAAATGAACCACACATCATAGAAACTGCTCGTTCTCTCCAGAGAGTATAAGAAGAGATGGAGGTGAAGCTCAGACATGGAGTTATGCTACGAATGTGTATAGTTGATGAGATGCATCCTCCTTCCTAATCTACTTTGTCATCCATCAATATGAACAGTAATCTTTCCCTTTTATGTCAGTACACTTGGTTAAAAACAATAGATTTGAAAAGGTAGCTCAAAATAGATTTCTCTGTCTTCAAGCGTAAAACCCATTTCAGAAGTAGGATGGTACAAAGTAAATGAAAATGTTGTTGGTGCCAAATTGTGAGAAACAGAAACTACACAACAAAAAATTGAGGAAGAATGAGGAAACACTGTGATATGAAAGTACTACAAAGATTACACACATTAAAAACGTGTTATAAGAAAAGGAGAACATAGGCATAGAAATTAGATGGACGATCACTGTGTTTGAAAGGTGAATCCTTGAAATACTGTCTGCTGTCAGCAGTTAATGAACAACTCATAGATCAACTCCAAGTAATTTCATATAGTTAGCAATTAAATACAAGTAAGTGTTAACTGCAGAAATAAATGCAACATTTAATATTGTTCTAATCCTACTTTTCTACCAAACGTAGAAGGACATAGAGCTTTAATCATATGACTGGTGACATGTGCCTTAATGAACCACTTCTCTGCGAAAAACTAGAAATGAGTACACAGTTGCAAAGAAAGAACCTTTTCATGAGGAGCTCACTGTATGATGTATTTCACAAGTAATGTGTTTTCTCTTCAGAAGGAATAACACGAGAATGACTTCAACAAAAATATGTACCTCTTTCCAAAATGCCCCAAATAACCCCACAAACCAGAGAAACCATGAAGCTGTTTTCTCCATACATCAAGATTTGGCAACTGGAATGCAGTTAAGCACAAGGTCACTTCCTTAGGAAAATGAGTTCCTACTGCACAAGAACCTGGTGGGGCTTTGCAGTTAAATACACTCAGATCATAATGACACTATAATAAATTGGGACTATGCCTAACGTATTTCTAACCAACTGAACTAGGACAAATTTCAGTCTCATTTATATCTCTCTTCACCTTATTGAGATCACAAAGATCTATTAGCACCACAGTTTAGCACCACAGTTTTAAACTGCAGAGGATGGGATCAGTCATCAACAGATGTGCACAAACTGGATTCTCAGATATGCACAGGTAGGTAACTTGAACTGGCAATGACACGCAGAAAAAAGACCCTGTATTTTCTGACAGGCTGAGGATTATAATGGTAAAGTTGCAAGGCAACACACTAGCAATACTTGCACCAATAAGTGTATGCATTTAAGCAACACTAAATTAAAATATTAAAAAATAAAACTGTTTATCAAGCTGAATATTTACAACTGTCCCAGGGCAAAGTTATTTGCCTTCTTAGACTGCCTGAGGAACACAAGCAGTGAACTTGTTTCCCTCATCTGCAATGAAGAATCTGAATGTTTAATAGCAAACCCAGAAATGTCACCCAGGGAAAAAAATGCATCTTTGTTGCTCTAAAAGTTGACCTTTAACACTCAATGTGCAACAGAGAACATCTGTTTTCATAGGAAGCAGTCTCATTTGGCATCCCTAGGCATAAATTCTCACCATTGCTGTGCACAGGCCAAGAGTAACACAAATTCCACTCCCCTAAAGATGAAGTTCTTTTCTAATATCCCTATTTTTAGAAAATTGATATTGACTGCAAGCACACTGGAGTGAATATAACAAATAGATATCATTTGTGAACCACATGGTTCTGAAATTAACATACAGACTCAGACAACTACTCAGTCTGTCTTTCCTGGAAAGGTGGACCTGACCCTATACAATACAAATGTAGGAGGTACAGAATGCATGGATCAGATTTCAGACATGCATGGATATGTGTACAGAGAAACACAGAGTCAAGATTTTTTTACATCTTCACACCAAGCTAGTTCTTTATACTACTAAAGATTCCTCTTTACTACTGGAATTGAGTTCCTCTTATTTGATTACGATACCATGCTACCTATGCACACTACTTCACTCATATTTACTAGAGTCTCTGCTTCACTAATCCTGTATTAACTACAGATCCTACTCCATTTGCTCTCTCTGCCTTGCTAAAGCATACTGATTTCCTCATGGAATGAGAACATGCTTTCAGAGAAAGCTTTGGCTTCTTTCTCCAGGGTACCAATCCCTGAATGAAATCCACAGATGTCTCACACAACGACCAAATTCAAAAGTAAGTCTGGTCATGTCAGGTAACACATTGTGTAATATCCGTATGGAAAATATATGTAAAACTTCAGTGCCTTGTACTGGAATTGTATTTCAGCATAATTCAGGTAAATCTGATTCATCTACAGAAAATCTATAAACATTAAGAGAAATCACACAATGAGTAATTGTTTTGAATGTTTTAAGTAAAAAGGAGAATTTATATATTTGTTCCTGTGGAAGAAAAAGTAGAAAGAGGCACAGTAGAAAAATTTTGTTTCCTTTGGTTTCTCTTGCCATGGGATGTGCAGATTTTTTCATCAAAATACTGGATTTGAGTTCACACTGTCTTTAAAACGAAGCACTAGTATTGGTGGTGAGTTTTACTTAAAAAAGGAGTGTGCATTTTATAAAAAAAAATATTTCCCTGTAAGAGTATAAAACATTATAATTGGTCTCAAAAATACTATAGACTATATTGCTTCAGTGGGCATATATGGACTCTGATTAAAACACTGGCTAAAAACATGTCTTCCTCTTTTTCTAAAGCTTCCCTCAGAGCTCTCTCTTCACAAAACCAAATATTTAACCATGGTAAGTGTTTGACAGTGAAAACTTATGTGGGTGTTGAACAGGAGTCATATTATAGTAATTCATTTTTTCTCCGAAAGAGTAAATTATTTCTGTGTCAACCAGACGGAAACTTTTGGTGATTCCCCTCATAAGTAGGGGATTTACTGACTAATAACTGTTATTCACAAACTCTTTATAAGGTAACATACACAATTGCTAACAAAGTAGCAAAAAGGAGTTTGAAGAAAACACATCACAGAAGAAACATCTACTCCCTGCCAATAACTACCTTTGCAAACACAAAGTAGCAGGTCTTCAGCAAAATCACATTAACACTGAAACAAACCAAAATGGGTAGTATTAACTTTCCAAAAGAAGGCAACGCATGGAATTTCAAAAAAAACCCCATCCTATAGCCACTTTTGTTCAAGGTTTTAATCACTGACAAACTAGCATAAGGTTTACACCGTTGACATCTGCTGATGATACAAAGTTGGGAACATTAGCATGCAGAGGAAGATAAGAATATCACACAAGAAAACTTGGATAACCTTGAAATGGGATGACATTTCAAAGCAAAGTATAAGAACATGTACCTAGAGCAATGAAAAATCTCACAACCCATATGTGTTATAGACTGGAAACTCATCAGTTTGGAAAGAAGACAAAGAAAGAGAAGGACCTGGGGGCATCATGGATGATTGTGGCCCATCAATTTTGTCATGTTATGCTGCCATGAAAAGCATGTTTCTGACCCCAGAACACACTCAGGTGCTTCCTGGACAGACTGATTAAACAACATTAAGCAAGGAATGGTTGAAATCTCTTCTGGAATACTGTGAGAGTCCTGGCCATCCTTATTTTAAAAGGATGCATACATTTCACAGAAAGGTTACTGGAGTGGAGGTAAGAAAGGAGTATCTTATATGAGAGGATCTCAGTGAAGTTCACTGTTTTAGCACACCAAAATGAAAGCAAAGAGAGACTGCTTTCATTAAAAAATATTGAAAAGGTAAGTGTGTGTGTGTGCGTGTGTGAAACCTATTTAGGCCAAGGTGATGTGAGCATCAGAACAAATAAGTATAACCTGTCCATAAAGACACACATGATGAAAATGAGCAGACATATTTTAACCAGCAGAAAAATTAGACTGTCAGTCACACAAACAGGTCAGGGAGGTTTAGGTTTACATGATGTGGTTGCTTGCAATTGCCAAGACTAGGCCTGATGACCCAGGAAATTCTCCAGTCCAGGCCACAGATGTAAAACAGCTTTCAAACCTAACTCAAATAAAGTAGCAAAACTAATGATTCAAATGTGTGAATTACACATACTTAGAAAGAAATTCTACTCTGGCCTAAAACAAAGGCAGTGGTTCCAAAGCAAGGAACTATCAATACTGAAGACAACTGAGCACTCTTTTCTCATTCTCACATACAAGATGCCCTAAGATATTAAGATGCTTCAAGCACAAGTATAAAATTTCATGTCTCAATCAATCTGGAAGGCAAAAATAACCGTTAGAAAGAAAAATGACTTATTATTTTTAGCCCAACATGTTTTATGGGTAGATCTCAAAATCTGAGGGTTACATAGTCTTTAAAAGCTGCAGAGTTCCCTTTCACTTGACAAGGAACTGTCTCACGTTTACGGCTATGACTGATTCCATAAAAATTCAGTAGACACAATCTTGATGCTGAATAGCCCCAAGCCAGTCAAAATGTACACTGACTAATAATATGAAAGTCTAAAATACCAAAAAAATACCTTCGATTCAAAGGACACCACCCACAGTAGGGATCCTTTGCAGATAAGCATTCTTGCTCAGAAGCATATTTACTGCAATTTGCGACTGGTATTCTTCTCACCTGAAACCAAAGAACGCAGTAACACGCTGAATTTAAACAGCCTCCATAAACAGGGAAATTGAAGGTTACCATTAAAAATCTGACAGCAACCAAGCACAATCCCTTTGGGGAAGCCTCCTAACGGATTCCCCTCTGCCAGAAGACCTTTGGATAGAAATATGCAGCCTATTTTGCACACGTTGTATTTTGCTATCGGATAATGAAACGCCTCTGACAATAACAATTTGGTTCTACTACTCAAAGGCCAGCATGGGCAGATTAATGCAAGAAAGACTGATCAGCATAGTGAATTAGACATAGTAATAGAAAGGAGGCATGTTTTACAAATAATGCTCTGCTTAGCAGAACACCATTTTCCTCTCCTCAGAACTGAGATATTTAAATGATTGATGAAGGTGCATCCAAAAATGCATGCACATAACAAAATGCATCTGTGTTTGCATCACCATGTCAGGTTACTGCATGTGCACACTAGAACAAACGCATGCAACTGCTCAGCATGCATGAAAATGCCATTTCAATAAGTAAATGTAGATAATTGTGGCTATATTGTATGTATCTATACTTGTACATTCAGCTTGAATATCCTAGCCAGCCATTTTCAGAAAAAGGAAGGAAAAAGAAAAAGAGAAAGCTGATTACTAATACTGAATACAGATACAAATAATGTTATTAATAACAATGTGAATTAATGACCTTAGTAAGAAGAATTAATTCAAACCATTTTTTTACAAATTTGCAAAAGTCATAGAAACACAGAATGCTGAGAATTGAAAGTTCCTATATTTTGTGAACATAAACAAGAATGCATGGATTTCCGCAAAACTATATTTACTGCTGTCTCTATGCATACATTGTAAAGCTCAGTTTATCCAAAGGTGTGTGAGATAATTAGTTCAGAAAACAGTCAAAATCCTAGATTACTAGCAAGTTAAAAAAGACAGTGTAGAAGCCTTATTTCAGCTCCAAGAGATGATCAGACAGGCACACTTATTCCTCAAAGGTGTTGTTCCTCTATAACAAATTTTCTTCTAAAAAAGCTAAAGAACATTCAAGTCCTTACTTTAAATATCTACATATACTTTTGACTAAAATTTTGATTTCTTCTACATTTGTGATAGATGGTTTATACCAGCCAGGAGTTCTCCTACCAACTCACCCCTGCTCTCAGACAGCAGGCTAAAAAGCCACGTTCACTGGTGGAAAGGTGATTTTATTGTAAATTAGGTAATTAAGTGCTGGGTGAAATCCTCTCCAGCTAAGATGGACAGCCAGCCCTTATGTGTTCAATGCCACCTTCTCCACCGCTGGCAAGACAAAGGAAGTTTCTGAGGTGCTGCTCAGTAGCCCCTGCTGCAGGATGTGTTGCAACAACTGCACCTGGGAGCTGATCTCTGCTTGACACACAGCTCTGACATGTTTGCTCACGTGCAGCAGCTCTCAGTGACTGCTGAACTCCTTGGCCTTGCTATGCATACACATTGCTCACTTCTCATTGTTTTTGTTTTGTTTTGTTCTTTTAAAGTCTGTGCCAAACGAAAGACAACGGGAATTTTATCACTGATTTCAGCCTTATCACTGACTTCATCAGAACCAAGACTTCAAAGCCATCTCTGACATTAAGAGATTTCTCCACATGATAAACTGCTTAACTGACTGACAAACCCTGACCTACCAACATATGGATTGCTAATTCAGAGGAACTTCATCTCCAAAGAGTGTACAAGTTTTGTTTGCTACCTCCAAGCTTGATTCTGCATGATGCCTCCAGAAAAAAAAAAAAAAGAGAAACAAAGACTCTCTTGACAGAATTGCATAAAATAACAATGAGTAAGGGCATTGCTGAATCATAGCAGCACTGGGCAGCACTATGGCAGCAGAAGCTCTTCCAAGCTCTGCAGAAGTGCAGTCCAAACTTAGACAACATAACCAGATGCTAGATGTAAAGTTGGTAACTGCAGTTTGGATACTAAAGGTCTAACTCTGACCCAAACTGATGCTTCACTTATAAAGTATTAGAAATCCTTAAAGCAGTAGTTTACATTAATTCATTATTTTATTAAATATTGTACTTACTTTATTGGCAGAGGACAGATAGATGTAGTTATTATTCACTGGATCAAGTCGAAGTTTGTGGAAAACGGAGGTTTCTTCCTCAATTTCATATAAAACTTCTGGGCAATTAGATTCCATATCCTCATTAAGAGTAGCCTAAAACACATTAAATTATTCATAAGTTCTTTTACTTATCAGTCAACGTTTTAAACAAAAGCCTAATTTCAGCAACATCAGAGCTTCTGAAATGAATTACTGTTCCCTGGCTCAATTCAGCTACTGCACTGGTTCTCACACTGGAGAAAGGGGAACGAAAACACCACCAGAACAGAATTTCAACAAAATCCACACTTGCACTGAATCTGTCACTGGTTTACTGTATGAAACATGCCTTCCACCAAATATGTTCCTGATTGATGCAGAAACTGAGCGTGGAGAAAATGCCTACATCCCAAAGTCATAATGTGTTACACACTCCTATGAATGGAGATGAAAGTATTAGCCTTCAGAAAATAAGTTAATATCCAGACAACCCACTACATAAAAAGGAACTTACACAAGTTTCTTTGTGGCTTCTGTAAGTCTACATCTGTGATGGTATTTCTTTTTCTTATCTTGCCCAACTCTACAGTTTTCCACCACCCTTTGCACAGAATTCAAGGGAACCAGAGACCACAGAAACTTTATTTTGCAAGTTAAATAAACACACCAACATTGGTTTCTTTCGTGACTAAACAAGGGAGATGTGTTCATGGTCTCCACTGCATTAAGGAGACACAGAAGACTTCAGTTTCAATTTTCATTATCAAAAGCACAATGAAATCAAATGGGCAAAAGCTTTTCAAGGTCTCTAGTATATTCTTCTCCAAATGTCTGCTTAATAAAGACAAAGAATGAGAGTTATCCTTTGCAATGTAGGCAGGAAATGCACATTCTCTCAAAGCCCAGAAAACAATTAAAGCATGAAAGACATTTGGCTGGATGGCTGAAATGTTTGATAATGAGATAAGATGACTTTCACTTCCAGGTGATTGATTTAAGCTAGCATAGGTCAACTATTCAGAAGCTAAGGCAAAATGAAACTTGACTTTTCCCTCTAACAGACAGCTATTCACATCACACAGATAAGCTAACATACAAACAAATATGCTTCCAAAATCTAACAATATTTAATATTTCTGTGGGAAAATCAAAGCAAGGAGGGAAACAAAAGACAGAATAACTGACAACTCCGCAGTCCATAAATTAATACTGTGGGCATTAGCAGTTTAATGAAATGTTTCCTGGATTTTAGGTAGGGTACATAATTGCTTTTGAAAGTTAACTTGCTGTCCTAGTGACAATACATAAGTTATTTCACATGCAAACAAAAAAACAGAAACAAATATCCAGGGGATTATATCTGTTTATAATACAGTGCCTAAACCAGGAAACATTTACCCACTCGAACACAGCAGCAGCTGGTGGAGAAGGGAAGAACTGACACACTCAACTTACCTTCAGTAACTGTCCATCTTCTGTTCCCAAGAAGAGAACTATCCGATTCAAAACAACTGTGCCATAAACAGCCACTAATCCAGAGTGAATCAAGGTAGGTAATTTCTTGATTGATTGCACCTCCTGAAAAATCAGATATAAGAAAAAGGTACTACAAAATCATTCACCTGTACTCCAAAATCTGAAGAAAAAGAATCCCTGGAAACATTGTCAGGAAATCCAACTTTAGACAATACTTGAGGTAGCATCCTAATTCTGACACACTTTCAGAGCAACATACCATTGGAAATGACACATTAAACTAGATTTTTATACATGGCAACTGATGACATCTGTGATAAAGATTACATCTACTGCAGCTAAATTACTGACTTGGCCTAGCAGCAGTAAGTTACTTTACAATAGAATTTCTCTTTTTTGGGACATAATGTCCTGAGCTTATTCTGAAATGCCAGTTCTTCTCAATGAAGCCATGCTTTGCTATCACCTGGCCTGCACCTATGATGAAGGCTACAGATACACTTAGCAACAATTTTCAAAGGCATGCAAATATTCTGGAGAAAGGAGACACTTCAAACAGACTTTGTGTTTGTAAAAATAATGCGAAGCTTCATCCTCCTTGACACTAAAGGAAGTTGAGACTTGTGTATTACATAAATCTAAAAATGAAATAAAGCAGTATAAAGTTCATGTTAAGGAAGAACATAAATATAACCGTGTGAACTTTACAAATCAACATGTTACCCTCCTTTCTCCATCCAAGCTGGAGGAAGTGGTAAGTCATGAAAGAAAATATCATGCATGAAATCCCTGTATCTTGTGGAAAGAAAAACCAAACAAAATAACCCCAATTGCAGATGATCAAATCCTGAAAGAAAATCCAGATGTCTGAGAATAAGGTCATTCATCAGGTGAGAGAGGGAGAGAGAGAGAGAGATGGTCTCCGCCTCAAACTCCCTAGAAGTCTGGGTATCTTCCTAGCAAGCAGTAATTCAGTTTTAAAGTCCTCTAACTGCTTTAAGTGGCAGATACTGCCAAAGGTGTGATCCCACTTGTTCTACAAATGTGTCAACCCCAGCCAAGTTCTACCTCTTCTCCACTCTATTAGTATAATGCTTTCCAGTGAGCTTAGCTAAGGAAATGATGTGCCTAGGTCTGTAAATCCACCTACTTACCTACCTACCTAAATCTTCATTTGAGTCATTCTCATCACATGAACATGTGGCTGCACAGACACCAGTGCTGGCGCAAAGGAGTAAGAGGCATGGAGAGGTAGGGGACAAGAGCTCAGGTAGGACCAGGTCCTTGGGAACAAGCCCTGTAGGTCATCTTACAAAGCCCAGAATCTCAGCCCCAAGGACAGATTCCTTAACTTACAGGAAGCCTGTGAGCACAAGAACCTATTCACTTTAATGCACAAAACAAAGTGTGAGAATGGGTCATCAAAACTGACATTTAGAAGAAAGGTGAAGACATTTCTCAAAGTGAATCCATAACACAGTAACAGCTGAATTGAACTCTCTTGCATGCTAGGATGCTGGCTTAACCCCAGAAAGTCTTTTCACTAGAAAAAATTTTTTTCTGAACTAAGTCAATTAAAATCTTCTTCAGTCATCTGAATTATTTTAATTAGCTTGAAAGAACAGGCACTTGGAGTAAAAGATTTACTTTCATATTTAAAGATACTATTTTTTTCCATGCAGCAGGATAGAAGACAAGAACTGACATGCACTGGCACAGAACTTCAGAAAACCCACTTGGGCATGAGAATCCAGTACCAGGGTAGTCTGTGGGGCAGGGTGTGATTGCAAGCATTTTACAGTGGAAAACACCAACTCACTTTTGTAATAGATCAGAAGGTAACAAAACTCCAGGACTGGTGCACACAATGAGTCTTCACTCAGACTAAGGAGTGAGGAAGTGGAGCTTCCAGGCTTTCATTTCCACCAAAATTAGGAAAATTTTTTCTGCAGTGCACCATGTAGTAGTGTAAGCAAGACAAATCACCCTAGGTTCCTTGCAGACTCTGTACAATAAGATCACAAAAAAGAGGAGTACTCACCCTGTTTCTGAAAAGCTTTGCTGCCAGATTTTATTTTGACCCACATACTAGTAAAATAACTAGTGTCATATCAGTGCATCCTTCTCATCTGACTGAAGAACTAACACTGACAAGTGTGGAAGTCTCCTCCCCTCCCTCTGTTTGCTAGAGGGAGGGTCAACACGACATTGAGCTAATACGGATAAGAAGAGGGGGAATTTAGACACTGGGCAGTCACAACAAAAATTGCCTTCCCTCTTTGCAACCTATTTCTCCAGTCTGCCTATTCCCTCCAGGGTGCAGCTGCTGCTTTCATCCTTCTGTCACCCCTTTTCCATGTGCATTTATTTTTTTAACAAGCCCTTTTACCTCTTCCACTGTGACTAATAGGGTTACAGCACTGTAGGGCCTTCCCAAGCTGCTTCTTTCACAGCTAAATCCATCCTTAAAATGCATTTACAGTCTAAACTTCCTTTATACTTGAAGAGTCACTCATCCCCATGATCATTTGTTTGCCTATCCTGTAACATTTTCAGGCTTGTGCAAAAAAAATTTAAAAAGCAAAAGAAAAGACAATACTGCTCTGTAAGACCTTCCTTTTATTAATTCTTCAGTTTCATTCTCTGTTCTATTCTGTAGTCTGCCAAAATCTTCACATGCACAAGTAAGCCTAGAAATCTCCTGAATTAGCTTAAATTTTGCTTTTAAGTTCACCCCACCATGCTGTTTGGTTATTGGCATGGAGAGTATTTATACTCATTTTCTACTTTGCATTTCATTTTCAGATTTATCTCTGTATGGTTCCAGCTGCAGCAACCATATTCACATTTCTACTTTCTGTCTTGATTTCCTCCTGATTATTTGACTGTGTGCCTCAGAGAAAAGGGCAGCATTTTTAGCTCATGCAGCACTCATCACACTGCAGCTGTCCAAAAAGTAAAAATAAAGGGCTTGAGTATCACAGTGAAAGAACAGATGCAGCTATATAAAAGAGCATGAGATTTGTAAGTAGTGTATGGCAATAGTCAACACTGGAACAATACATAGATATTTTTCCTAGAGGAAAAAAAAATTTGCTGGAACCTCATTCGTGTTTAACTTCACCATTCTTTAACCACCCGTGTCAATTTTTACTATAACTATACTATACTGGTGCATCCAGTAAGCCTTTATTAGAGCTAAGGAGTGAGGAGATGAACTGTTTCAAAATTTTACTTCCAGGCAGTTTTTTGATTTGTGTTGGGTGGACAAACCTGCCCAGGCAAGCAGACTGCAAAAAAATCAAGTAGGATGACCAGGAAATTGGAGGGTCTTCACACAGACCTTGCAGAGGCAAGATCCTGAGCCTCATGGTACAAGGCAGGAGGGACAGTCAGAGGCTACGCTTGAGCAAGATGCTGATGGAGATGCCCGAGATGTGGAAGCTAGAAAATTGTGACTTCTCAGGGCAGCAGAAATGGTCCTTTACTGCCCTCAGATCTAAGTTAACAGTATTGGTAAAGTGTCTAATAACCAATGAGGAAAAACAAGCTTCATTAAGGAAGGCTTTGAAAACAACTGAGCTTGAACAGAACATTAGCAGAGTGCAAGAGGAAGTGGTGGGTGACCATGGCTGGAGATTTTCTCCCGTGAAGGATGAAGGTACACATTTGCTAAACAGTCATGTTGTTACAACGGGTCACTTTTTTTTCCTTTTGTTTTTAGGGGCCCATAGCCATTACATTGCAGGAGGACTGCCTGTGATTTTTCACTCCTTGCACTCATTGTTACACATCCACACGGACACTAAGGACATTGCCTAGAGCAGATCAGGACTACAAAGCTCTGGGGACAAAGTGAATGAGATGGGACCTTAGGCTTTGTTAAACCTACAGGATCAGTAAAGAGTGATGCTCTTCTGGATTTTCTACTCACAAACAAGGAAGAACTGACTGGAGCTGTGATAATCAATGGCAGCCTTCGTTGTAGTAACTATGAAATAACTGGGCTCATGATCCTGAGGGCCATGAGGAAAGAACAACAGAGTACAGAGCTGGAGACCAGGCTTCAGCCTGTTCAGAGAAATGGTCTGTGGGATCTTCAGAGAGGCAGCTTTGAAGGAAAATGGAGCACAGGAAAGCTAGCAGGTCTTCTAGGACAACCTTCACCAAACATAGAACTCATGAGAACAAGCAGACGTATCAGGAGATGGCCTCTAGCTAATCAAGGAAGTCATGATTGAACTACACTGCAGTACAACAGTATAAAGGAAGTGGAAGCAGGAACAAGTGACTAAAGAGGAACTGCCTGGACATACAGGGATGGTGTTAGGAAAACCCAAGTTCACCTGGTTTTGAAACTGGCAAGGGATGTTATGGGCAACAAGAAGAGCTTCCACCACTACATGAGCAATAAAAGAATAAACAATGAAAATGCACACCAGCTGCTGAATAGGTCAGGAGATTTACCGACAGTGGATGCAGACACAGCTCTGGACTTCACCAGCAACATCTTGTGGTCCTTTGTATGTGCGGCATTCAAGGAGGAAAGAAACTACTAGTACTGGAAGAGGATTAAGCCAGGGATCTCTTAAGAAATCTCAGCTTTTAGAAGTTTCAAGGAAGACAGATGGGATCTGTAGGAAGATGCTGAGAGACTGTCTGATGAGGCTGAAAGGTTAGTCTCTCATATTTCAAAAGTTGTGGAGATCAGGGGAAGTCTCCAACTGAATAAAGGCAAATACTGCACCCATCTTCAAAAAAGACAAGAATGACCTAGGCAACTACACACTGGTCAGTCTCACTTTTTCCCTAGGAAAAGCATGGAGCCATTCCTCTTCAAAACCATTTCTGGGCACAAGAAGATCAACCAAGTGACTGGGGAAAGCCAGCATAAATTCACCAAAGATCAATTCTGCCTGACCAACCTGCAGTACTTAGAAAACTTCAAAATGGTTTAGTGGTGGACTTGGGAGTGCTAGGTTGACCATTGGACTCGATGACCTTAAAGGTCTTTTCCAAAACTGAGCTGGTTCAGCCTACAGAAGAGACAATTGCAGAGGGCCCCACAAAATAGAGCCAGGCTCTTGACTCAGGTGTATGCAAGCTAACAAAAAATAATAACACAAAGTGAAACAGAGGAGGTTTCTATTGGACAAGAGATTAAAAAATATCACTATGAGGACAATCAAGCAGAGACCTGACAAGTCTCCCATGGCTTACTTCCCACACTCAACAGCAATGAACTGAAAACTCATTGTAACCAGACAGAAACATTAACTCTAGAAATCCATCAAACATCAGATGCAATACTAGCAGTCTGTTCTACACACAAAATTGACTTTACTACTAGAAAATTAATTACAGGATCAATTTTGATCCAAAATTGTATTTAGAAGTCTGTAATTCTTTCCTTAAATAAAAGACCAAGAATCGCTTTGAAATGAGTTACCGCACAAATTCAAATGTCATTCCTGCAAATTAATGGCCATGATTAAACTGATGTGACTCTGTTGACTTCAAAATCTCATTTCAGTAGAGCTTATGATAGCTAAACCTTCTCCTAGGATTCCAAACTATACTCGATAAATTAAGGGGCATATACCAACCTTCGTATTTCTCACCCACTGAAAAATTAAAAAGTTGTATATCTTTACTTGCACTAAACAGCAGATGAAAATCCGACCAAGGTAGCTTAGCATTCAGTAGCTATCACAGCTACTTAGCCTCTGCACATCATAAAATAAACACTTAATATAAACTACAGCCACTTCTCTCTGTCATACAGGTATATACTTAACACTTCTTTGGATTTTCTCGCTGAAAAATTGTAGAATCCTTTTTTCTTCACATGCACCTACTTTTAATGGTGAAACCAATTTCCAGACTTGTCATTGCAGTTAGGTAACACACTACATCTCTCTCCTGTTGATGTTCTCCAATTTGAGAACTTCTACTCATCTACTTTGCTGTGATCCACAAGATCCTGGGATCTCCATGAGAGATCTGATATCTTAGTAGCTCCTGTTCAGCCACAGAACAACAGAAGAAAAGCCTTTCTTAAAGTTCACTAGCTACTGCAGCAAGTTTGTGACAAATTCCTGTGTTCCTCCTGTTTGCTAGTGCTCAATCAGGTTTCTCAAAAGAAACAGAGAATGAGATTTGGCAAATTCACATTTATTAACTAAGGAAATTGTGAAGAAGAGGCACTTAGACACATGCAGGTTATGCTAGAGTGTCCATTAACACATACACCTTGACGGTGCATATTAAGTAGATGTATTCAAAACTAAGAGATTTGTGGGTCAAAAGAAAAAAAGTTGAATATAAAACTGCAAAAACTTTTCAGAGTAGTTTCACCTAAGACACCACTTGCCTTCTGCTAATCAGGGATCATGTCTCTGGGATTCCTGTATTGTATATGTCCAGAATGAACACATCCAACTAGGACAAACTGCTTTGAGCACAGTACTGCACAAAACCTAAACAGAGCTAGCTAGTGCTCATAAGGAGCTGTTCCACAGAATTTGTAGCAGTCACATACATTTCGATAAAGCTGCTAAGCAAAGATCTTAAAAATTACTTCTTTTCAAAGTCAGACTCGACTTCAGCATTAAAACTTAATGCAAATGTGAACTTTGGCCTAAGAGGTGAAGCAAGGCTAAAGAGATTACACATCTGCAATGAGTTCCTGCAGGATGCAGAACAATTTGGTTCAAATCCAGCGAAGTACTTGAGCTCATGCTTAGCTTTAAATGCATGGGCATGAAGATGATGGAACTGTATGCCTAATGTTAAAAGTACCCTTAAGTGCTTTACTGGGTTAGGGCCAGAAAGCTCAACACCTCAACCTCACAGGAAGGAGTTCAGGGTAAAACACACAGCAATAGCATAGAAAGGAATTCAGGACCACAAATACCTTGGGCTAAATCCCTCTTGCAGTATCCTATTGAGAAACACAGTGTCAACACAGCACAAATACATGCAGCTGTGTGAGTGTAGAGGGGTAGGAGGATGTCTTGCCTAAGGGTAATCAGAATAATTACAGAAATCTGAAGGATGACAAGATCAGAAGGAAAACAAACTGCCACTACTCCCTAACATATACTCTAACTATAAACTGTATTCCTGCAGTGAAAAAATCCCTGCATTTTCAATTCCTACATAAACTGACAGTCCATGTCTGGGATCTGTGTACCTCATCACATCACGCCCGAGCTCCAGCATTCAAGTGCACCCAGCAAAGAAGACTAAGACCTGCAGCACCCTACAACACATGGCATCTGCAATGCAAAAGCCAGACTGCCATTCAGCATGTCCATCCACCACAAACACCAGACAGGTCTTGCACTCCAAGCAATCATAAGGCTGCAAACACATTCCTTTGCTCAGGAACAACACTGTCTTCAAAGGACCGGACTTTAGAGGATGTGTTAAGTACTGTTGCTTGCTGCAATTCCTGCACATAGTAGTACAATGCACACACAACAGCCTCGTGCGACAACAGACTCCTTTCTGGCCAGAGCCACTGCCGCCTATTGCACACACTTCTACAAGCTGCACGCTGAAGGATGTGCCACACACCATCTTCCTGGTGCTTCTGAAGCCTGCACGCTTCTGAGTCCAAGAAGAGCATATTCCATGTTTGCAGGGACTCCCGTGATTTGGTGAGAGACAGTAGAAGGATCTGGTCTAAAACAACCCAGAAGCAGCAGCATATGGGCCTGTCATCTCCAGACATACTCTGCAATAGCCTAGCCTAACCTTCTGTAGTATTAAAAACATATTAAAGCTGAACTACGTGCATTTTTTCTATGTTTATATACCATAAGTACATATAATTAACTTAAAAAGGAAGCCTAATTAGCCACGTAATATTACAGGTCATATTATTACACAGGACTCAGATGCCCTGCTACCTCATAAGATATTAAAATACCACTTTCCTCTCAGTGGTAAACTGTATTTATTGTGCCAAAATATCATGATTAATAACATCATCATAGTTAGGGACATAATGTTAAGTAAACAGTCCTTTAAATCATTGTTAAAGTCATGATTCTTCAGCACTGTACCCAAATATAATCTAAATTTTCAGGAGGGATGAACCTTTTGGGACATGAAAGTAACTCTGGAGTCATGGCAACCTGATCTGAATCAGATCAGTCCTGAAACCAGTGGATCATTGGTTTTTCATACTCAGGCCCTGGGAAGCAATGGGGACAGGGGACTGCCCTGCGTGCAGAAATACACACCTCATCGTACCTACATTGTTATACTATGAAATCCATGAGACTCTTCTGGAATTTCTAGCATGGGGCTTTGTAAAGTGTTTATAAAGGACCTACTGCCCAGGGAGGTTTCTTTTTCTGTTTTGTTTTGCAGGCTCAGAAACCACCTTGCAGAGAAACTTCATGAGCCATTAGGAACAAAGAATAGAAATTACCATTCCAACAAGCAAATAGGTATTTTGGGATCTTCAAATTCATTCAGCAAGTTTGCCTTGTGAGAGCACAGAAATCATGCAATAAGGTATAAAACTAGCACTGCAAATCAAAGGATTGGCTCTGGCTCTGTTGTGAGTTGCACTATTTACTTCAGCACAGTTGTTTCACCCACATATGAGGTTCTCATTCATAACTATGTCCTCTAACACTGGCAATAGTCTCACAACTCCATCAGGAGATGAACAGACTGAATCACACGCGCCCTCCGGTAGTCTGTATTTGGAAAAATCTCAGCACTGTGCTCCGCTATGAGCTAGATTTGGGAAGCCAAGGAGCAGCAGTAAATCTACTGCACTTCTTTCAAGGAATTTCCAACAAACTCCTATTGTAACACAGCAGAGATTCAGAGGTTAAGCTGCAAAGTCCCTGGATGGTGGGGGAACTGCAAAAGGCTTAGGGCTTGCTTTATGATGGCTCGCTTGATCCCCTACAGTCCTCCTCGATACCTTTCAGTGTTCCTTTTGCCACAGCTCTGAAAAGACATCTGAGTGCAACTTAAAAGCATGGACAGGCCTTGCAAAAGCACCTTCTTCACCTGAATTACATTTTTAGCTTCTCAAATTTAATTTTCAGTTCATTTCTTTACTACCGAGGCCACAGCAAAGCCAGTCGCCTTGCCCATCCCACCCTCCATGTGCCCTCAAACCCAGGAAGGAGCTGTAGACAGTGTGTTACAGAAGTAGGTGACCAGGGGATCTCCCCGGGATACCACTGCCTGTGAAAATGTAACCAGTGCAGCAACAAAGACTATCACCTCTCGCTGGCTGCTGCACATATGGGTTTGGGGCAGGGGATGTGGGCAGTCAGCCCTCCTGAGCAAGGCCAAGCCTGGGAGGCTTGCGAAACACCCACACGGAACAAGCAACCACGGATAACTAGTGAGCGATCGGGATAACAGTGCACACAGTCCAGTGCACAGGAGTCAATTTGATGGGCTTTTTTTTCATTTCTGATGTAGCTGCAATGACATGAGATGCGAATGCACAGAATAAGGTAGGAGATGTTTTATCTAGGCTGTACAGAAAATAACACGAAGTACAACTAATCCTAGGCAGAAAAGGGCAAGTTCAGTGAGGAGCCTGAGCCTCAGGCCTGACTCAGGATGCCCTCAGGTGTTCCCTCAGACATATCTTTCCCAGCAGGTAGGTGGGAAGTATACTGCAGGATCTCCTAGGGGATCAGCTCTTTAGAAACAGGAAGAGCTGGAGATACCACCACGACTAACAGAGCCAGGGCTGATGTGCAAAGCCTGCAGTGGCTCTGAAGTTCCTTGTAAACTGTCGGGGCGCTGAGGACACCCCACGAGTCATGCACAGGGACACCAGTCACAACAACCACAGTGTCAACACGGGCGTGCAGGACGACACCTTAGCAAAACGATGCCCAGACTTACAGAGCTCTGCCCGTTCATGATGAAGTGCGTCGACGTACGGGCTTGCTCCTTCATCTCCTCCATCCCAAAGATGCAGACGGCAGTGGTGTTCCAGGCCTTGGCACTACGGCTGTGGCGGAAAACGCCCACCCACCAGCCCCGCTCGCCCTGGCGAACCAGGCTGGAGGAAACGATGAGGCTCCTGCACCCACAGTCCAAATAGACGTGCCCTTGCAAAGTA